CAACATATTGGAAAACCTCAGTAATTAATACTTTTAAAATTCCTCCTTGAAATATCTGGTAAGATACTTTTCTTCATCCCTGTCCTATTTTCCTGTTTTTTTTATTTCTCATATTTTCCCTTATTCTCTCTCTACATATATTGTACACTAAAGATTTTCTTTCTTTTTTCTTTTCTTTTCTTTCTTTTTTTTTCTGTTTTTTTTAAGACATGGTTTCTCTGTGTAGTTTTGGTGCTTGTCCTGGATCTTGCTCTGTAGACCAGGCTGGCCATGAACTCACAGAGATCCACCTGGCTCTGCCTCCCGAGTGCTGGGATTAAAGGCGTGCGCCACCACTGCCGGCTTGAAGATTTTCTTAAGGCCTCTATCAGAGTGTGCACTGTGAGCAGCTGCAAAATCTGTGAAATGAGTTGGTAACAAATTATGGATTTTTCCATTTTGAAATCTGTATCTTTCTCAAACATAGAGGAGTCTTCCTGTTCGTATTGTACTTGGAATGTCTTTAAATGTGTTAAGATATTCATGATTATTTTATACCCTTTGAATGACCTTTCTATGTCCAGGAGTCTCTAACATTGGTTTTTGTGATCTGTTTCTTCAGCCCCCCTCCCTTGAGTTTGATGATCCTGTGCTTAACGCTTCATAAAAGATATGGCACCTTTTTGGAAAATTATTTTTAGCAATTGTTTTTTGTTGTTGTTGTTTTGTTTGTTTGCTTGTTTTTCAAGACAGGGTTTCTCTGTGTAGTTTTGGTGCCTGTCCTGGATCTCGCTCTATAGACCAGGCTGGCCTCGAACTCACAGAGATCCACCTGGCTCTGCCTTTCGAGTGCTGGGATTAAAGGCTTGCGCCACCACAGCCTGGCTATTTTTACCAACTGTTGGAGACATAGAATGGAGTGATGCTCACAAGAAGCAGTTGTATTTTCTTTGGCCTGACACTCTCCTCATTTACGACACATGTACTTGAAACATGGTTGGAGGTATTTTTGTTATCTATCTCCATTTGGGCTGCATGTGTACAATGAGGGCAAATGTGATTTGAAAAGTTCTTGCACATTTTTCATCTCTCACTGTTTAGCAGAAATATTTTCATTTTCCTCTGTGCTTATGAGTTCCACTGACCTTCTGTAGGTAAGGTGGGAAGTTAGACTGACATGAACATCCTTGTACCATCACACCTGAGAGGTGGGGTATTGCACAATTTCAGATTCATAGACATTGTTTCTCTCCCCAGATTTTCAACCTTGTTTAGACCCTACACTTCATCTTACAACACATGAAATGTGATCCTGTAATACCAAGAATTGTAAAAATAGTACATAAACAGTCTGATGCCTGTCATCTCATTACCTTGGATATAGTTTTAGAAATGGAATTGTTATAGAAAGGTGACCAGCACACTTTGCTTGTTACCTCTTATTTTGCAAAGGGTACATATCAATCATTGCTTCATCTAAATTTATAGTATTCTCATTTTTCTGTTTCTAATTCTTGGTAACCTTTTTATCTCACTTGTTAATTTGAGAAAAATAATATCAAAAACTTTTTACCAAATTTTATTTTAAATATATCACATGATAATTTAAAAGATCCTACAATCAGGGTAATTACAATGTTTTTTTTTTTCAAACATGTTGTTTATTGTTATATAAAATATTGGTACATATAGGCTCAAACAATGCCTCATATAAAAAACTCTTTGGTTTATAAATATATGATAATTTTCATTTTTCCTTCTAAATGTGAATTATAACTATTTGCATTTATTGTATGTTTTACTTACCAATTCAAACAACTTGGTTTTCCTCAAAGCACACTACCTAGGAGAAAGGTTAACTTTGTCTCTTCTTACCTTATATACTCAAATCAGATTTTTTTTGCATGATGTATGTTCAATTAAATGTTTCAAAGCTAAACTTATTAGCATACATATTTTCCTACTTTGGGAAGCATACTTTTGCTCATTTGCTAAGTGAATGTGGCTGTGCCTATGTCAAAATGAAAATCATATTTTTAGTAAGAAAGAACATTTAGTGGTAAGATAGTTTGAATATCATTGGTCCCCATAATGTCATAGGGAGTGGCACTATTAGGAGCTACGGCTTTGTTAGAATAAGTGTGGCCTTGTTGGAGGAAGTATGTCATTGTGGAGGAGGGCGTTGAGGTCTCATATATGCTCAAGATACTGCCCAGTGTCTCAGACCACTTCCTGTTGCCTGCAAGATACAGAACTCTCAGCTACCTCTCCAGCATCATGTCTGACTACACGCCACCATGGCCCACCATGTTGATAATGGACTGACCTCTGAAACTGTAAGCCAGCATCTCAATTAAATGTTCTTTATAATAGTTGCCATATTCATGGTGTCTCTTCACAGCAATAGAAATTTTATCTAAGACAAGTGGTAATACATTGAAGAAAAACATTTGAGAATAAAATTTCCAGACTTTCAATTGATGACATGTGAATATATAATTTTCAGAACATACCCCAAACTTAAGAATGTTTTGATATTTTATTTGGGGAGATGATTTCAGTTAAAAACAACAACAACAAAACAAAAACTCAAAACAGCAATAAAAACTTATACTCAGCAAGATACTAGTATATATCAACATTTGGTTTTTATTTCATTTAACAAACCTGAGTTCCCATATTTCTGTGGAAGATGTATAATGAAGGCTGTGGATTAGCAAAACAGCTTTTTCTGTTAGCCAATACTGCTATGCTTTCATTTCATGTTTTTATTCAAAATGCAATTTAATTACCGTTTTCTTGAATTTCTCTTTCACCAGCTGTACTTCTGTCTCCCACTTTTCTAGACTCCTATTGTCCTTATGTTTTGACAATTATTATTCAAAAGTGTACTGGTTAGTACTGATAAGTAAATAATGCAGGAGCAAAACATTATGAGACAAAACAGCTTCCAAACTACCATTGAGTTCATTTTGTGTTGGCCATCTACCACTGGGTTCATATACCCAGAGAGACTCCATTAGAGAAAACTAAGTTTTCATGTATGAGTGGTTGTCATTTGGAGATTGTTTCTGGGTTGTGGATAGGGCTTGTGTCTGCTTCCCCTTTCAGTGCTAGAACCTCATCTGGCTGGAACCTGTGCAGGCCTTGTGCATTCTGCCCGTTCTCTGTGAGGTCATGTGTGCATCAGTCCTGTTGTGTCTGGAAGGCCCTGCTTCTTTGGTGTCTTCCCTCCCCCACTGGCCCTTACAATCTTTGCACCTCCAATTTCACAAAGTTCCCTGAGCCCCTACAGGAGGGGTCTGATGGAGACATCCCGTTTAAGACTCAGTGTTCCACAGTCTCTCACTCTCTTCACCTTGTCCAGTTGTGGGTCTCTGTGTGAGCTCCCATATACCACAGTAGGCAACTTCTCTGATGATGTCTGGGTAAGACACTGATCTATGAGTATAGCAGAATGTTGTTAGTAGTCATTTTATTGCTATGTACAAGAAGTCACCACTGTAGATCACGGAGATTGTAGCTGCGTTGGTATTTGTCTTTCTTCTTTGGCAGTATGAAGAGTACCTTCCAATGACATGAACATTATTCAGTAGGGGTGAAGACTATAGGTATGTAGAAGCTTAACTTCTCTATTTTCAGTGAGTTATGAGGATGTTGTCTTCAGCAATAGGGCCTTATTATCAGTTTGTGGAAAGCAACCAATTGCGTTGGCATAGGCCAGAGTTGGTTGGGGTTTTTCATGGGGCTCCTTTGATCAATAACTCAACTAGATGTAACCCATTCCTGACCCTGGAAGTTTCATTTGGTGGCAAGGGATGTCCAGCTGGGGTTTTCTCTCCTCTATTACTTGGTGATTCCATTTAGTTTTGTTTCTTTTATGAATATATTTGAAGAAGGTTCTATTGTATTAGGTTTTCATATAACCCCTCAAATGGACCTTAGTTCTAGCTGTCCCTTCCCATACTCTCTCCTTCGCCTCTTCTTCCCCCCTCCATATTTGATCCTCACATTCCAGTCCCCAGCCCATCCGTAACTGTGTATTCTATTTTTTTCTGTAGACACCACCCATAGTTTCTTACTCTATACCTAATCTCTCTCCATGTATGAAATAATGTCAATCACTTAACAGCGAGGATCCATACATAAGTGAATACAAAGCATTTTTGTCCTTTTTGTTTCTGGATTACCTAATAGCTCCATTCATTTATTTGTAAATTTCATGGTTTCATTATTCAAACAGGACTAATATTCCATTTTGTAAATGTACCACATTTTCTTTATTCATTCACCCATTGATGGACATCTAGGCTCTTTCTAATTTGGAGCTATTAGGAATAGAGTAGTCACAAACATGTTTGAGAAAATGTCTTTATAGTAGAATGTAGGGTTCTTTGGGTATATGCCCAGGAGTGGTATAGCTGGATCTTCAGATAGATTGATTCCTATCTTCCTGAGGAACTGCCTCACTGATTTCTATCGTGGCTGTACAAGTTTGAAGTCACAGGAGTAATGGATGAATTTTCCCCTTACCAAACATTTTTGCCAGCATAAACTGTTATTTGTTTTATTGATCTTGGCCATTCTGACTAGAATAAGATTTAATCTCAAAGTAGTTTTGACTTGTATTTCCCTGATGACTAAGGATGTTGAATTCAACATTTTTAATTCTTTAGATTTTTTTTTTTTTTTTTTTTTTTTTTTTTTTTTTTTTTGGTTTTTCGAGACAGGGTTTCTCTGTGTAGCTTTGCGCCTTTCCTGGAACTCACTTGGTAGCCCAGGCTGGCCTTGAACTCACAGAGATCCGCCTGGCTCTGCCTCCCAAGTGCTGGGATTAAAGGCGTGCGCCACCACTGCCCGGCAATTCTTTAGATTTTTATAGGTTAGTGAAGACTAATATTGGTCTATTTCTAAAGATTATTAAGTTTACAGGCAATTAGTTAATGAGTTTTGGTTATGTGATAGGTATTGCTAAACATACATAATTAATAAATAACAAATAACACATAGCTAATTTGTTACCTAAATAAATAGATTGTTTTTGTCTGTTTTTAATTTGTAAACATTTTTGTTTTCTTTGTAACATCTTTCTTATAGATACTTATATATTTAACCACCATCAACACTATGTCAGTCATTTTGTGATGAATAAATAATGTGTCAGTAGGATTAACTGGCTTTCCAGCTTCTCACAGGCTAGAGATAGAAAGAGGGAAATAGTATGCTAAGCCCTGACAGACTGTCTTGAGTGTCTGTTCTTAACTATGACCTCAGAGTCTTTCCACATTGAAAAAATAAGTGAATCTCAGCTTTCTCTATGACACATATATAGTGAGTGCAAAGACTAAGGTTGTGAGAGAGTAAAAAATATTCCCCATTGTTATACACCTTACTTCACCACTTCCTGTTATAGTCTGTTGTGGTGGTTTGAATGAGAATGACTCCCATAGACTCATGGTCTTGGCTACTCCTTCCCTACTTGGTGGAACTGCTTAGGAGGGATTAGGAGGTATGGCCTTTCTAGAGAAGGAGTGTCACTGGAGGCAGGCTTCGGGGTTACAATAGTCTCGTACATTCCCAGTGTACTCTCTGTCTCCTGCTTGTGGATCAAGATGTGACCTCTTAGCTGTTCCTGCTGCCAAGCCTTTGCTCTCGCATCATGGACTCTAACCCTCTAAAACTATTAAGCCCAATTAAATACTTTCTTTCATATGTTACCTTGGTCATAGTGCTTTATCACAAATAGAATAGTTATTAATACACAAGATGCTAGATGACAACATTTGGATTTCTTTGAAGTTATCGGAGCATATTTAGATAAAAGTACTAGTAAGTACACAATGATAACGTTATCCTTTCTTTGCTATGAAAGAAGTAAGAAAACCACTTAAGGAAGGAATTATTTTTGGTGCATGGTTTCAGGGGATTCACTCCATTGTCACTTCAATATCTTTCTTGTGAGCCATCATGTGATTGAAGAAGAACATTTGTGAACCTTGTGATGAAACCTCCTGGAGGACATTATGCAGAGTGTAACAGTGGAGGAATGAAAAAAAATAAAAAAGGAGAGAATTGAGGGAAGACAGGGAGGAAGGAAATCTTTGGAGACAAGTTAAAGCCTCAGATGATACACATAATAGCTTATTTCTTCAGCTGGGCCTGAATTTCTAATAAACCCAGCAATAAATTGATCATTTAATTAAAATATCAGTCACTACACTGTTATTATATAATTACTTCTCACTTGCTCCACCTGGTGGTAATAAAGGTTTCAACTCATGAGCTTTTGGCGGGAGGAAGCACTTTCTATGGAAATTATAATAATTTAATGACATGTTACTAGATAGTGTTGCCAGAGAGTGTGTGTCGATATACCACCTAAATGTACCTCTACTGAAAAGGATACTGTAATTTTACCACACCTGTGTAACCTTGAAGTGCTAATCCAGGGTTATATGTGCACTCAAGTTTGAGACTTGTGGTGTACTAAAAGGATGAATTTTATTTTTTAACTGAATTCTTGATTCTTAGTGTCTGTCTTATGAGTGAGTGTGGGATCCTAGAATAGTCACTATTTTATAATTTATGCTTTGCTTCTTTGAAGAGTCTTTATTATTTTTTTCTGAGACTGGCTCTTACCATGTCTCCCAGGCTGCTCTCTTGATCTCATACTCACTCTTCCTCGGCCTAGTGAGTGAGTGCTGGAATTACAGGCATGTGATTTCACACTTTTCTTCATATTAGAGGAAATATTAGATGAAGCGGATGAGCTGGCTATGAAGTTGGTGCCCATGTTGGACCCATTGGCTGGTGGCAGCGAGTTAGTTGTGACTGAGAACAGCAAATGAGGCTCTAGGCTCTGATGCTGGCTCTTCTTACCGACTTTCCAGCTTTATACGAATTCTTCAATCTTTCATTTACTCTCTTCTATTCTATAAGGATAATCATGTGTATGTCATATAGTAAACTCACTGCTTAAAGACCAAACTAACCATTTGGTCACTTCCTATTCACCAAAGTTCCTGGACAACAATGCTAGAATAACATCTATGATTATAATTGTAAGGGAGCAGTCACCTTGGGAGCACCAATTATGTCAATAATAATTGTATGTTCGGGTCTGCTTGCCAGGTTCCAACACACTGTTGAAGTGGGAGTCGTCAAACTGGTTTCAGAAGTGTGGGAGACAATGAAACAGCCAAATGAAAGGTCACCCATAATCAAAAAGAAATTTGCAGGATTCACATTTACAGATTTATTAATAAAATACTTTTGCTCTTCTTGCTCTATTTTTCACCTTCTATTTTACACCAGTTAAATTGGTTGAAAATAAAGAGATACCAAAAGGTAGTTTGCCATACAAAACATATGGAAGAAAGAGTTTGGGGTTGGAAAATGAAGAGTTAGGCTATTCAAGAAGGTGGCATTGCTGGTGAGTTTCCTTTGGTGTGTGGGAACCAGAGAGTTTCCAAATTTAGGAAATTGTTCCTGGAAAACAAGACAGCACTACAGAGAAAACCAATGAGAGAATGAGTGTTCGGAGACTATTGATGAGTTTGGATCACTGGAGCAGGCAGAGCTGAGTTAATTCGTTGTTGAAGTTTCCAGCTCATGTACTCAGGAGAAGCTAACGACTGATTTAAAAAATAATAAACCTTTAAGGGGCTAAAGTAGATGGCAACCTGTCCACTCTCTTTCTAACAGAACAGAACCTCAAACTGAAATACTGATTGACTTTTCTTTAGACCGTAGCTCTGCAAAGTCTTATTTTACTTCTCTTATTCAAATTGACTTTGGTGCCTTTGTGTTTGATCACAGACATGCATAGGACTACAAATTCAGCAAACGTCTCTGTAAATGGTTGGGTCTTAAACTACAATCCAAGGGTTAAAGAATCATTCAAAGCCCTTTCAGAAGGCACCCAAGACCAAGCCTGGTGATGTGAGTTCATGCCCCAGACTCACATGGTAGAAGGAGAAAACCAAGGTCTGTACACCTTCCACTGTAAAAATAATGTCAAAAGTGACTGACTACAAATAAAACTCCATATATGAGAAGAACAAACAAAATAACTGTGTATTTTAAATGCCAATGAAAAGAAACCATTACAAAATTCTAAATATTTAAACATCCCAAGACTTCTGCTGCAGTGAATATCTACAGTTATATTTGGAAATAGATGGGAAATGTCCTTGCTCCTGTCAATCTTTGAGAGAATGGAGAAGTGGACCACTCTGGTAGTGTAGTTCTATCTGAAGCTCCAGGTTGCATTTGCCCAGTCTCCCAGGTCGAATCTACACTTTGTAGAACTGAAACTTTACCAACAGAAGGTCCTTCATTAACACAAGATGTATCACATCTGTTCTGCAGTAGTCCATCCATAAAAAAAAAATACCAGCTTTGTACACCCACTCATACCTTCTGCATCCCTGTAATAAGTAAGCAGGAATATGTCCAAGAGAATGCAAAAATATACAACAAATGAAAAAAAATGCTGAAATTTTGGGTAAATTTTTACTTCTATTCTATTTGCATTGTTATTTTTCTTTATGCTGTGACAAAGGAGCTTAAAAAAGAATTTGTTTTATGACACAGTTGGAGAGGGTACAGGCCATCATGGTGAGAAAGGCATGGAAGATCTGGTGGAAACATTCAGCTGTGACTCCTCACATCTGTGTAGACCAGAAAGCAGAGAACAGGGTAATGGCAATCACCTGGTCTCCTCTATCTTTCCTTTTGTTCAGCACAGTCCATGGGATAGTAGAGTGCACCTTTAGGGTAGGTAGTCCCTTCCCAGTTAAACGTCTCCTGAAACATCCTCATAGATACATCTAGAGGCGTTTCTTCTAGATGATTCTAAATCCCATGGGGATGACAGTGAAGATAACTATCACATGACTTAATGTGTTTCTTGATGCCGGAATACAAGTAAGTCAGGTAATTCCCTTGTGATTGCATGTATCTAGGCAGAAACGCCTAAGTTGAGAAGTGTAACATCAGATACACTGTTTCCATTGCTTTACAACTATTTTGATTAACTTAGTTTCCTGTTGTTTACAATATGATCACAACTTTTAGACCAAATGATCCTAAGAAGGCTTTTTTTTACATAGGCTGTGATGCCTCATGTTAAAGGAATGGCGAATGATTGTATATTTAGCAAGTATCTAACATCATTTGTATACTGAGTGGACAACAATGCAAGTATTTCTATTAATACCACATCAATTAGATTTTTATTTTAATCTTTTAGAGAAGCAATTAAAACTTGGAAGGTGGAATATTTTCAATTAAAAAGTTAGAGCCCTGGTGATGTTGCTTAGTGATAGGACATGTGCAGAGTCGGCCCAAGGCCTTGCATTTAATCTCCAGCCTCAAAGACTAAAGGGCCAGAACACAGTGAGTTAAAGGCAAAATGTGCCTAGTTCTGACCCTCATCCAGATTGGCAGAAATGTGTGCTCTTCAAAGCATTCTTTGAGCTGCTTCGGGATTTATCAAGAGGTGCCTCACAAAAGCACTCATGCCAATTTGTTGGCAGTGGCAGTTTCTGGCATTCTCCATTTGCTCTTCTCTTCCAGATCCATGATGGCTCAACATGTCCATGTGCACTTCTGGTGTCTGGCATAGTAGCCCTGATATCTTTGCCAAGGGCAGCAACAGAGGACTCTCCCAGTGTTTCCAATAAGAAGTAGTTCCAACTCTATTTAGAGGAGACTGAAGCTCCTCAAATTTACTGGAAGCAGAATAGATCTTGCCTTCCATCTCTATTTACATGACTTATACAACTTTATTCTTTTTTCTTTGAGTGTATTTATTGAGCTCTAACACTGAAGGCACCTTCACAGTTGCATTTAGGTTTATAAATAACATTGAGAAAACAAAAACATTTTACAAAGATTTCAATTGATGTGATTTATTTAATATTGAAACAAGTAGGATACAGTGTGAAAGAAATGCTATTCCATCACTCATGCACTGATCTACAATGTGCTACCATGTTCAGCATTTCAGTCCTAGATGTGGGAAGCCACAGCATTCTCCTCCTTCACAGCTTGTGACACATTTGTGAACCCAGCTCTCAAAGCACCATCTGTGGCTTCTAACCTCTCAGATTTGTTGTTGAATGTGTCCTTCTCTTACTCTAGGAGGCACAGAACTTAGCCCATTTCACACCACTGCAACCATACGAGCTCTCACTCCCCCATGTTCTTCAATGCAGAACTCTTCCTGATAGGCACAGAAAACTTCTTGTTTGTGTCAATAAAAGTTGAAGATTGAGGGGTGAATACACAGAAATTAACAGACCAAGATCAGTGGAGGTGTTATATTTGCTAACCACAGTACCAGCAAGATCTACTCCCATTCAATTAGTTCCTTAAAAGGACTCACTGATTGCAATGTTCAAGTGACCTATGTTCTGGTTACTTCAGGCAGTGAATAAGAACACTGTGAGAGCACTGATGCAAAGGTAGGCATTGTCATCAAGCCAGAACTCCACAGATGCCCTTGAACAAAGGGAGCTGGAAAAGGAGAAAGGGGGGGACAGAGAAAGACAGACAGTGAAGAAAGCAGAGAGAGAGAGAGAGAGAGAGAGAGAGAGAGAGAGAGAGAGAGAGAGAGAGAGAAGAATGGCAGGAGGAAAGGAGAGAAAGAAAGGAAGGAAGAGTGAGAGACAGAAATGTTATGTGATGGCTACCACAAATAAATAGACATCTGCTCCTCCTTTTTAGTCTTTATCCTCCTGTTTATTCCCTTTTTGGTCTTTTGTTTATTTCTTTCTTCTCTCTCCCAAGTTTCTACTTCTGCATGACAAATTTGTTTCCCCAGATTAATACTACTGGCTTCTGAGTATCCAAAATAATTAATTATCCTTATGAATAATATAGAAAAAAATGATATTATGGAATCATGAAATAAATTGCTTCATTCTGATCCCAAGCCTTACTGCTTACAAACAGTATGTTGTTAGGTGAGTTATTTGATTTCTTTGTGTCTGTTTCTTTAGTCTAAAATAGGAGTAATGTCCTTATGCATCTCAGATTACATTGTTGGAGTACAAAGGATAGATTATCTGATTTAAAGTCAATAAAATAATGCTTGGTAGATCTTAATTAGTTCGGTATCAATAGCTGTTTGACAACATAATTAAGTTAAAATAATAGGATTTTTGGTATCTTACAATACTCTTTTTGAGCATTCTATACATATATACAGTGTGTTTTGATCGTATCTATCCTTTACTTTTCTGTTCCTCCCAGACACCCCCCTCTGATATCATGTCATCTCCTTTATTATGTTTTTATAATCGACTAAGTCTAATTAATATTGCCCATATGTCCATGGGCATACAGCCATCTACTAGAGCAAAGGAAACCTAATGGGTCACATACATGTAGAAAACTGACTCTCCTCTCTCATCCTTCAGCAGCCACCAACAGTCAATAGCTCTTAACTAGTGATACTTAAATAACAAAACAATCTTTGTTTCAGTTAGGTGCATATAATAAAAAAATATTTGCAACCTTATATTTGTATAAACATTCATAAAGCCTTGTGACACACAAAATTTGCAATGCTATTTCTACTTTATAAAAGATTCAGAAAATTGTAGATCCAGAAATTGTGGAATGCTTAAAACAATAAATTCACTCTATATCTTACCTGATCCTTTGCAGCACAAATACAATTTTCTGCCAAAATATTGTGTTTGTTTCCTATGTCCAATATATTCTACAATTAAATATCTATGCTGTATTATTTTAAGGAAATTGCAAATAACACTATGTTGTATTTTTATTGTTCTCATATTTGATTTCTGATCCATTTGAGAAAGTAACCTGTTGGATTCTATTTGAAAACTCTGTTTACCCAAAGCCAAAATGAATAGCAGCAGTTGTTGAATAACTCTGGATATAATAAAGATTCAGTCTATTGTGGCATTCACTGGTTTTCAATGAGAGGACAAATAGTGAGGACGGAGGACATAATTCAGAATGTCAGCGATTATGGAAACTACAGACAGGATTTACTGACACTTTCTAAGACTGTCCTGTGACTTCACAGCCATGAGCTCTTGACCAGGATCATGGTATCTGGCATAAAATTCCCTCTTGTGGAATAGGCCTTAAATCCAATGAGAAAGCTGTTAGTTACTTTTAGCAATTGTGAAACTGTTATACCAGTGGGCATATCCTACCTGACTGTTGCTATTAGAGTATGAGAGTCTAGCATTAGGTAAGTACAAATATCTTTTTTTCCTTAGCAACCTGCATAACACCGTCTATCTCTTTAAAACCTTGCCAACAGGAAGGAAATTTCCCAGTCAGTTTGTGATTGATTTTTTTTTTTATGTCCTGTAGCAAAAGTGTGAAGTAAGCATCTCCAGGATCTGGGTCTTAGCTGTAGTTATGGTGGGCAACCCAAAGCAGTAGTGTGTAGCAAGAATCTTAAAAGGTCTTATTAATAAAAAACAAACTCGGAGCCAGGTATTGGGGTGAACACTAAAAGATCAGAGAAACAGAACCAGCCACAGCAAACCTCACCTCGCCTCGATGACTTCTCAGCAGATCTCGTTTCCTCAAACTGGAAACCTCTGTGTCTTCATCTGAATGGATCTCAGCTGAACTGCTGCTCCAAAGCCTAAAAGCTTAACCAGGCTCTAGTTCCTGGTTTTCATGTCTTATATACCTTTCTGCTTCCTGCCATCACTTCCTGGGATTAAATGCCTGAATCATCATGCCTGGCTGTTTCCAGTGTGGCTTTGAACTCACAGAGATCCAGATGGATCTCTGCCTATGGAATATTAGGATTAAAGGTGTGTGTGCCACCATTTGCTGGCCTCTATGTCTTTCTAGTGGCTGTTCTGTCCTCTGACCCCAGATAAGTTTATTAGAATGCACAATATTTTAGGGAACACAATATCACCACAGTAGTGATAGCCTGTGTTGTTTTAGAGACCTCTGGGTCCTCCCTGACAAATAAATTAAGGGAGGTATATCATGCCTTATACTGCACTTTTCATATAAGAGCCCAAGCCTTCTGAGAGTGATATTGTCCACCCTTCCAGGACATTTCAATTTAAACTTTATACAGATTTAATTTGAAATCATTTTGTTCAATGTTCATGCTGTCAAATTGCCTCCTAAATATTTATGTTTATACTAGTACACCCATGCTGCTTTCAGCCTTCGTCAGAGAAGTTTCTTTGTGTGATAGATTGTGGTAAATGGAGAGACTCATAACTGGTTAAAAATAAAAAGAGTAAGAGACCAAGTGTTCAGTCCAAAATAGGCCACCTATACCAGTTCTTCTCCCCCAATGATCAGGACACATCAAGGAAGAGGAGTGTGAAGGACTATAAAAGATGAGAGGGTTTTGGAGGAGTGCTGTGAGCTGCTGCCTTCTGAATATCACATGTCAATCACACTCATGAACAGCAGCTGTGGTTACCTGTGTAAGACAAGCATAAGATCAAGCAAGCCAAAATTTGGGCATAGATGGGCAGATGATCTTCAGATCCACCTCTTTCTTACTAAGGAGCAATTAGCAGGTGATAGTTTCTGAGGAAGGGAAAATCCATGGCTTTGAAGGATGTTCCCATGGGTAGAATCCTCATGCATTTGTGGCCCCCGAACTCATGGACATTTGAGTAACACCAGTTGGGCTTAGCAGGTTATCATCAGCAATTACAAAATGACATGATAAGAGGGAAGAACTTGTTTGTGAGAAGAGGTAAGGGTCAACACTACCATCATATTTCATTCCTTGTGTCAAATTCTCGAGAATAAAGAAACTGTTTAAAAAGAGTTACTAAAAGTGTAGACACACGCACGGGGCGGGGGCGCGGGGGAGGGAGACTAAGACTAACTTATCAGGTGTTTGAACTAAATTATAAACATACATACATATTAACCTTGATTCTTATATTGGGAAGGCTGTGGATATATTATACAGCCTGGTCACGTAGCCTATTTTCTCATGAATTGCTGCCTTCTTGGAACAGCATTGGGTTCTGTGGTAGATGGGAATATGTGAGTTGTACAAACTTAAACACAAGACTCTTGTGTTAACACAGTTAAGGAAACCACTCCTGGAAAGTCTCAGGGGTTTCTTCAAGACCCCAGAGAAAACACTGAAACTGCTTAAGGCTTCAGTCAATTCCAGTCAAATTGTTTGTGAAGTTGTCAGGCCCCATTTAGAGAAAAAGTCTGTGACACATGCATTCGTAGTCATTTGAACAGTAATTTCTTGTAAGTTGCTTATGACTTGGCTCACAGTGTGAAACTTCCTGAGACAGCCACACAAGTGTGTCTCCAGCTCTCCTATATCTTGCCATCTTGAGTTCTTTGGGAAGAGATGCCCATGAGACAGTGACAGGTTTGGTGAGGGTAGGCCTTCTGGATATTGTTGGTCATTCCTTTTTGAAAAAAAATTATCAAAATCCTGAAAGAACATGAGGAATGGTTGTGTCATAAAACATTTGACAAATTATCCAATTAAATTTGGAGTATTGTAAAAATCTACTTATAATTCATGAAAATATTACTCCAGTAATCCAATTGCGAATTAAAACACAGAGCATACATTAAGACACCGCTGACACATTAGTGGAAAAACAGCACTGGTTTTTATATTTTTACAAATAAGATGTCCGATTCTCAGATGAATAGACTTTTACCTCTGCTTAATGCTGTACTTTGCTCACAGTCATTATAGAGAGAATCCGACTTCATAGAGATGTCTAATGGGTGAAAGGAAAAATACTTTCATGGTCTTTCCAGAATAGTGGCTATTGTTTTATACATAAAACATCATCTAGTGACCGTTTTAACATGCTTAATCATGGTAAGAACCATGAAGCTACATCGATGATGTCCTTATTCTAATACATCAACTACATCAGTGTGTCTTCTTAAAATAGGCCATGGACCTGTACACACCCTTCCAGGACCATTTAAATCTGCACAGTGTGTGTTGGGCAGTCTTCTATGAGGAACTCACAAATGTTGATACAATTGCTTATGAACTATCAAAAGTCATATTTCATCATATCGAAAACCACCTTACTTCAACATTCTCCAAGTCTCGGGGAGCTGTCAGCACACAATGACAAATGCGTTCTCCTCGCTGGAAGCTGGATTCGGTCGTCGGCAAAACTGTCAGTTGTTTTCCTTTAAATCAACAGATTTTCATTTTGTTCATTTTCAAGAAAAAGTCTGGCAAGTAACTAAATCTGAATAATTACGATTTGTCTTTCAAGTAAAAATGATGTTCCACGAGTAAAACACACATGTCAGCTCACAGTGTAAACAACTGTGAAAGTGATTTTCTAAAGAAAACCATCAGAACAGTTTGAAGCAAAAATGCCTTATTGATAGTTTGTATTTCACAGTAAAGAGTATTAAGACACTTCTTCTAGGGTTCACACGTTTAAAATAGATAATTCTTGGTGCTTCACCAAGGAGATTTAAGTAAATTCTTAAAAGATTGCACCATGGATGCTGGCTACCATGGTTTGTGCTGGAGTCTTGGTTCCTGGCTAAGCACCAATTATTTGAAACACTGTTACTTTTGAGCAGTGGATGCAAATAGATCTTTAGTACAAGCTGTGCCACATATGTTTTAAAATTAAATGACAATTTCAGTATTGTTATGCAGCTTGGTTTTATTAGCAGCATTCAAATAAAAGATCACTTTTGCTAATTCATTTGTATTTAATACTGTTCAAATTCTGGTAAAAATGAACCACGTTTGTGCAGCTCTGAAACACACAAGAGTACAGCAACAATGTGAACTCTGCCCTCTCCTTTGAGCTAAATCTTTCAGTCCAGGAATTGCTGTAACTGTAATTTTGTGGAAGTGACAGTGTCCTGGATTCCCTCAATGATCTCCATCCAGCATGCATTCAACAAAGGCAGGTTCTATGCCTGCATCAACCTTTGACCCTTTGTGTGTGTGTGTGTGTGTGTGTGTGTGTGTGTGTGTGTGTGTGTGTTTCTCAGGGAGTACAATTGCTTATCCTGTGAGATGCTTCAGTGATTTCCCTATTTGTTGTTTCTTCAGTAATATTTGTCTTTTGAAGATGTGATGATGCCTATGTGTAAATATCTAGGACTCTTTTCCAAAATTCTGACTCAGATTAGTAGTTACCAAATTTTATAATAAAATTATCACACAGTGTTTGTCTAAACCCCTGTAAAAATCTATCTCTAACATCTGTAAGACTGGTATACATTTCGTCATAACCAGTTTTATGTAGTTTCCATCTGTTCAATAAGTAAGAATTCTGTTCAAAATGCTATTTCTTCATCATTTTGCCCTTTTGAACAGACTATATAAGTATGGAAGAGAAAGTGAGTCTTTTATTCTTGTATAATATTAGAGGGACCAGCCTTAATATTATACATCCCAGGGGCTCAGGAGAGAGAACTACTAATGGCGAGGACTATTTTCAGGAGATGGAATCTCAGCACACCGAGCTCTATAGTACACTTGCTTTAATTCCTCTGGCATAACATCCACATATACACAGCTTCAGTTCTGTTCTCTTGCCTAGCTCCTTTCTTGCCTGATTTCTCTCTGTTTATTTACTGTTCCCTCTTAAGTTCTATCTTAATTCTGCCCCATCTAGGTCCTTTTCACCTTGTTCTTTCCCAGCTAGGGTTTTCCCATCTGACTCTTCCTCATCTTCCATTTCGTTCTTCTAGTACTCTTTTCTAGGCCTTCAATCTAGTTCTTTCCCTTCTTAGTTTGTTCCTTGCAAGTTCTTACCCATCTAGTTCTTCCATATTCTTTTCTCTTCTCCG